TTTATATAAATTTGCATACTTAGATTATTTCACTAATTGTCATATTATTGGAATAAATTTTACACTATTTGCTTATCTATACAAAATTAAGGATTTTGTCGAACGTTATACTTAATTTTTTTCAAAGATGAGTTTATTACCATTAAGATACGATGGAATGACGGTCGATTATCTTAAAGAGATCGCTGCTGCTAAGGGATTAGACCTTAAGGATGTTAAATCTTTAAATAAAGAAGCTTTAGTCAAGAAAATCAAGGACTTTGACAATCAACACGACCTCAAAGGGTATGAAATGTTTGTTAGCCCAGATTCGAATGAAGGTCATGGAGGTCAACCAGACTTGATCAAGGATGTTATTGATGAAAATTTAGGTTTAAAAGATTTGATTCAAGGTAATCAGGATCATATCGCTGCATTAACTGAAGAACTTCACAAATCCAAGATTCAACAATCAAAGTTAGCTGATGAACTGGACAAGTCTAAGGTTAATCCACCAAAAGGTGAAAGTGTCTCAACTGAATACTTTACAGGTGAATCTCATCAAGATACGTCTCCTCCTGCTTCCAATGGTCACAATTCTGCTCATCATTCTTCATCGGTCAACAAAGCTGAAAATTACATCCATTTTACACCAGAAGATGTTCATAAGATCAATGCTTTACGCAAGTTGATCAAGCACCTGTCTCAACTTTCGCTGTACGCTGCTCAAGGTAAAAGAAGCTATTTCTTTAACAAACTACAAATGCCAGAGAAATTAGCAATGCCGTTTAAAAATTCACTGGTCTTTACTGCTGAAATTCTGCCAGCCATTGAAAATATCTTGTTGTTCCTCATTTCTAACAAGGTTGGGTTTGACGAATACGGTGATGTTCTAATATCCTTGCTCGACGGTGATAACTTAGAGCAATTTAATTATTTCAGAGCTGCTAAACTAAGAGTCAAAGATGCTGCTGATGGTACAGGAATTCCCGTCACTGGTGATATCGCTACATTAGGTTTAGGTCACACTGATTATGACAAATTATGGATTATATTATTATTCTTGACCCGTGATATACAATTGAAACTCTTAGTGGATGAATTAACAATGAAAACTTTGAATCTATCTCCAAAACCTTTACACAATGCTAAGGGTGAGGTTTTACACATTTTATCCAAGTACCAAAACGTATTAGGAAACAATCAAACATATATATCCATGTTCAAATCAAAATTTCAATCCTGGTACTACCAATGGAACCCAAGTGCACCACCTTTAGAAGGTTCGGAATCAGGTCAACGGTTTTTGGCTGCTACAAGTTACTCAACTTTACGTCAAAGTATTCACATGCTTTTATCTGCTTCATTAACAGTTCCAACTGCTCCAAATGAGAATTCAAGCTCTATACCAGACGCTTTTTCATCCGGTTTCAATGCAATGAACATTGGGTCTCATAGCTCTCGTTCTCAAAATTATGGCTCTCCAAATCATGGTTTTCAAAAATACGGTTCTCAAAATTATGGTTCTCAAAATTATGGTTCAAGTGTTAGAAACCAAAAGGCTTCATTTTCCAAGAGTTCTAATTGTCCAAATAAGAACCTACTCCATAATATTGGGTTAAATGAACAACAAAAACGGTTGTTTAACACGAAATGTAATTGTTACATCTGCCTTATTAATAGAAATCAATACCTACTTGAAAAACATTATGGTCAGAAACCAAATGGTGGTACAAAGAATAATCCCCATTTTGCCGTTCTAGAAACAACTCATGCTGCTACTCCAGAAGCTACTGCTGAAGATGCTGTTGATGGTGCTCCCCAAGATCCACACGATGATTCTGCTAATGACATCACCGTTTCCTTTGAACCTTCCATGGGTGATTTCGATGCTCAAACTTTAGAAGCATTCATTCAAGAAGAAGAAAATTCTGCTGCTAATGCATGGGAAGCCCAATTCAACAACCTTAGGCCTAGTTACTAGAGATGGTGATGATCCTGGTGATGCTCCAGGTCCTGCCCCAGGTTGGGTCCATTACGTTTTTGGAGACAGCGGTGCGTCTCATAATTTTGTTACCACCGAATGTTTGAACAGTTTCAGGTCAAACAGCAACAGCTCCAGTTTAGGTATCCAGATGTCCAATATGAAGAAGTTTACAGAGATCAAAAATCATCCCATGATCACCGTGGCAAATGGAAATCAAGTTAAACCATATGGATTTGTTACTATAAATTTCAACATCAATGGTTTTCAACCCACTGGTATTGGTACAGATACTGCAGATATACAAGATACTCGTCAACACGATGGTTTCACCGCCAAATTTTTAGTTATTGACTCCAAATTCTTATCCAAAGAGATTTGCAGAAAGTTGATATTTGGTAAAAGGCTGCTAAGTCATCTGGAATACAGACTTTATTATTCAGAATCAAAAGTCTATGAAGTCATATTAGGTCATCACATCATCAACATCACTGATACGTCTAAAAATGCTGGTAAAGATAAGTCATTAGATTATTTGAATGAATATTCATCATTTAACACCATGGTCATGGAGATAGGTGAATCTGAAGAGATTGAAAATTGTCATATGTTTTCATCAGCCGCTACTGCTTCACCATTAAAATCATTAGCTCCATA